GATGATGATACGAAACGATGCGTTTTGTTATTACTCGTCGACGTGGCAGCTTTGTGGAGCCGATGCTGGGTTTCGGCTTGAAGAGCCGTTTTTCTGTCTCAATGACTAAATTACACTCCTCCAGCTCACTAACACCTAATTAATTTGTCTCTTTTTTTTTTTCCAATTTCTCTTTTTACGTTTGTTTTTTTTTTTTTTTTGTCCTTCGATTCGAGTGTTAGTGATTTTTTTGTTGTTGTTGTTGTAAAGAAACGGGTTCACTTTGATTTCGTATTTTTGTTTTTACCTAAATGGTGTTTGATGAATACTTGTGTAATAGAAATGTCGTGAGAAGTGAGAACTTAAAAAAAAAAAAAAAAAAAACTATGAACCGAAGAACAAATTCCGTATCAGCAAACAAAAAAAAAAACCAAATTGTTTGATGACAGTCGTCATGGTATTATTTTCTTATAATCATACAATTTGGGAATTCTCATCGAATTTAACTTACATGACACTATATTGTTGTCAATTTGTCATCTCTCACTTAAAAATGAATATAATTCGCATATATTATTATTTCTCATGTTTGAGAGTTAATTTTTGTTTCCAAAGATATAACTAAACTTATTATTACAAATGGACGTAAGTGAACATTTATATCCATCGTTGATAAGTTAATTAGGAAGTAATAAAATGAGTATTTGTTAGTAAATGAAAGAGTAATTATTCTATAAAAAAGTGCATGAAGGTTTAGCATTATCAGATACTCAGTACTAACTAACTAATTAGTAAATGATTATGTATCTGGTTGATCCTTTTCCTAAAGCTCTATTTCTCCAGTTATTTGGATTTGTCCGTCAAATCGATAAATAATTGAATCATTTAAAAAATGTACAGTATATTTAAATTTAAGATAATTATTTTCCTTTTTACATGTCAAATAAAATTGTATTGTTCGCTTATTACCAAGATTTAACATGCATATCAATTTCTAAAAGTTTCGATAGGGAGATGAATAATTATTGCAGTCACACGTAATCCACGTTCTTGGGCAAGTTTGTTAACTAACTTCCCATTCGGATCCATATATATGTCATATTTAGTGTAGGAGTTTTGATGAGATGATGATTATGAAATTGATAGGGAAGGAGACAAACTTTTGGTAAATTTCTTTAACCATTAAAAAAACAAAAACAAATTAAGGTGTTGAAAAATAAAATGATCAGTCACATGGTGATGAACTGATGATGTCTTTGGATCTTTTATTTACAGCGTTTACATTTTTGTTTATTTTTATTTTCTTGTTATTGTTTTACTTTGTTTGTTTGTCCACTTCTTTAATATATGTCAAAAGTGAAAGGATATAAAGAATAAACTGTAATAAGGTGATTGCTTTTGGCCAACACCTTACTTTGTTCACCACTATGAGGAAAATGAAGACTGTTATCGATTCCCAAACATATTGGACCCTTAGATTTGAGAGTGACAAATAAATTTGTTATACATAAAAGACCTTTTATTTAATAATACATTTTTCGCCATTGCCTATACGGTTAATGGCAAAATAGGTGAAAACCCCACTACATGAAACGATTTGCTCACACATAGTTTAGTAAACAAAGAAAAAGTCCGCATCAAACTTGTTAAGACATTTCACATCTTTCAAATAGATATTTTATGTCACTATATTATATATATATGCATAGTAGACGAAATAATTTATAATATGTATATGAGGAAGTACGATTTATTCATCATGTATGGACTGTATTCAATTTTTTTCTTGACGGTAGTGAATCTATTATTTGCCTTGACGGTAATATTCGACTCTTTAAGTAGTATACATGCATGTGTTGTATATATATTTGGTGAGACTTAAGTATAGTTGAAGACAGGTCATTGAATAAGAACATAGTGGGTGGTACAAGTGAGCTCACTATCATTATCTCAATACATAGTAATAATTATTAAATGTTAGCTAGGTTAGTTTTCTGTTTTCTCATGATTTTAAGGTTTGAATGTATGTAGACAATTACAACACATAAATAAGACTCAATTTGATAGCAGCCTATCGATTATATATATATATATATATATTATACGTTAGGTAAGTACTTCCACAACTTCCTAATTTTTCAATTGTGGTTCTTTTGGAAAATTCTGATTGTTATTGAAATGGGCTTATATATATAGTGTATATACAAATAATATATCGGACTTTAGATTAATATACCAGCACCAATTCAAATTTGTATGTAAACATTAACTGAACAACATAAAACGTTTATTTGAAATTTAACATGATTAAAATTATTAATTAACTAACAGATATATGAATTCAACTTAAGATTTTGAAATTATCAATAAAATGATACAATTATGATTAGGTTTCATAATCAATCCAAATACCGAAATCAGTAAACTTTTATAATATAATTGAAATAAGCTGATCCTGTAACTTTTCTACTGTCTATTTAGAATATTTCCTTATAAATAAAAATATACATATCCCTGGATCGTTTGGACGATACCTAGACTGACAAATTACAAGAAGGTGAATTTGATGTTTGGCATCTTGTGGCATGCAAACCTAACTACGTACAGACAATTAACTAGTCCAATTTATGTTTTAAAACTAACGCTGTTTAATGGAGTATATTGTTTGCCACTATCTTATGGTTCCATATTATTGGTAGGTATGACTATATACGTAGTTTTTTTTATTCACAACTACTGTGTAAATCTAATAATATCATCAGTTTTTTTTTTAAAGAACCCTATGTACGAAAGTGAGACCAAATGATGTGAAATGTATTAATTAGCACGACTGTGCGACTCATCAGGTGTACCTTTTTGTTAGAGCAACTAATTAGATTTATTGATTGAGATCATATTTTCATATTTTTAATCACATTCCCAATTATGATGAGTCATTAATACGTACGATTTATATCAATGTAGTAGTTGTTAAAAAGAAAAAGAATGGTCATTTGTCCAGGATCAGCTTATTCCCGTGGATGAATTATTAAAGTTTTGCAAATAGAACACACATACACACACACATATATATACGTATTTGAATTGTTAAACAAAACCCTATTTTTTTACAAATGCATCGTTCTTTCAAAAATTTAAAATGCAAATTGATAAGAAACTTATTTCAGATTGTTCTCGTGGCAAACAAAAATTTGAGACTCTCCTCATAGCTGGATAGCAACCTTCCTATATGAGAAAGAAATTGGGTTGTCCATGCGCTAATTCGAGTTTTGATCTCATCTATCAAAATAAAGAGTTATTTACAGTCAAACGCTTAACCACAAAGTAAAGAAAAAAGTACTATTATAAACTCCAATTATTTTAATTGAAACAGATCTTCTCTCGTGAATGACGAACCCAATGTTTGGAGACACTATATTCAATCGACAAAGTTGTATCTAATTCAAGCTAAATATTAATTTATACTGCTTAATTGTAAGATATAACATTTGTTGTTGTATTAGAAAGAAAAAGAAACTGTAAGTTCCACCATAAAAAAAATATATTATTGAAGAAATGGAGTGCTTAATGGAAAAGTTGGATACTTAATTATTGTAGAATACCTTCCTCTTTCGTCAATACTGTGCTTTAATAAAATGCAGGTTGACAGAGTCCCTCTCTCACTAATCTATATTTAAAACGAGCTTATTTGATTTATATTCGGTTTAAGCTCCTTTTCTTTTTCTCTTACACTTTTACAATATATATTATATACCTTATATTATGTTTCATAGATGTACTTTGAGGATTATGTTTTGGCTTCAAACTCTTTTTTTTTTCTTTTCCAGTTTTAAATATAATGCATGGACTAAAAATCAAATACATACATGAGCCTGATACTCATAAAATCATATATTTAAACTAATGGAAATTATAATGTATTATATAACACGAAAATATAACATTTGTACTAATACATATGAAATATATTCCCAGACTTACTTTACTGGCTTTGTTCATGTCCAAATTTGAGTATTTGCACAAAGCAATTTAAGTAATTGTTTTTTTTTTGTTTTCTTCAGATTTCTAACTAAAACAAGGAGAGGACATTTTCAAATATAATTTTGTATATTTACATTGTTATATTCGTAATAGCTAAGAAGAACTTATGTTTAAGTCAGGATTTCCGATGCTCTATAAATGTGAATTTTATACGTAACACAAACATATTTCTACCCTTCATCATATAATTATATCTATTTAGTAACTTTTATACGCATATATAGAATGAAAGACAGAACCAGAATGGAGCTAAAACATGTGATCTTTATCTTTAGGAATAAAGTGGCTATAAAAAGAAAAAGCAAGCAATTAGAAAAGACCAAACTGAAAGCAGTAGCAGAAGAATATTGATAACAAGAAGAAAAATAAGTAAGAGCATATGGTTCAAATAATTAACTATTTTCCTTTAACGTCTCAGCCATTTTTCTAAAGGAAGAAAAGAGAGTAAAAGAGCATGTGCGTCAATGCCAATGATCATGTCTTCGAAAAAAGGCTAAAAAAAACCAATCGAAATTTGGAAATATTTCCAAATTAATTGTGGCTTTAGCAAACAATTTCCTTATACGTATTAAAAATTATAAAAAAAAAAGTTTCAAAGAACATTTATAGCTAAATGTAGCTGGGCCAATAATTGCCTTAGCACGCAATTCCATATTATGTTTCATATAGAGAGGATTGTCAGCTTTCAAAAATTGAAACCAAAAAATTGTATTATTACACAAATCATTGTTTAACGTCTTCGCAAATGTTTTCAGTTTAGACTTATTAAAAATTAATGTTTTAGATTATGATTTCCTACAAAACTTCATGTAGATAGTAGTTTTAAAGCAAATGGCTATAAGTTTTTTTTTTTTTTTTTCTCTTGCAAAAACAACATACATCTCAAAAGAATCGTGCTTGGCAGGATCCAAGTCTTATTCCTGCAGATGCCGAGAAATTGGATTACCAATTATTTTCAAATTTCAACGGATAACCAATGATTTACTACATGTTTTTGTATTAATTGAGGATTTTACAACACTGAAGACAATAAGCATTAAGTCGTTGTTAACACACGTTTGGATGATACATCAAATGAAGACTAATCTAAAATTCAATCGCAACCCAGATTTAGGATTAATACCATGTTCCAAATTACAACAAAAAAGATCACCAGACAAAAAAAAACCCTAGAAAGTGCAAAAGAGTCTTACATATTCTCTATCACATGATCAAAATCCCAGTATGGTCCTTCAAAATCTCTGATTTGCCATATCACGTTCATGATCTTCGATTCTTTTCCCAAAAAAAAAAGCTATTAATAATTACAGAGATCTAATTCTTTTGTTTTATCTATATAAGAAACAAGTCCCTGTGATTCACAGTTTTGAAATGCTATGAATGGCGCCTTCGAGAGCTTCAGTGCGGTCATATGTAGATAGGTTTAATATCATTAGGTCCGAAACTTGCTGAGCATGTTGGACACTTTCTTTGTCGAGTTCCTGTGAGCTTTTGCACACATGGGTTGCAAAACAAGTGGTAGCATTTCGTGATCACGACCTAAGTTTATTAAGCCAAAGAGCAAAACCAATCAGGCATGCACACGCAGTTGACAAATCCAAAATCATGATTTGAGAATCTTGCTGAAATCTAAAGAAAGGAGGAGGGAGTCTTTACCTCTTTTGGGCGATCGTTGCAGGCCTTACACTTCAGAATCTCTTTGAATTCACCGAGTTCTTGTCGGAGCTTTTGAATGGCCGATGATCCTTCTTTGAGAGACCGAAGACGAGAAACTTTCTTTTTGGCGATTTCCATTTCCTCTTCTATCCTTCTCCTATCGAACCTGTGATATGCACAAGAGGTCTCTGTGAGCGAGCTCATGGCCTACACTTGAAGAGGGAGGGAGTAAGTGATTTTACCTTTCGACTTCTAGTTCCAGTTCCAGTGCCCCATAATCCACACGACTTTGCTCAACTTTAGAATGCGACTCCTCCAGCCTTGACCTAGCTTGATCCAAGCCATTCCCAATGTCTGCTCGTTTCTTTTGCAGGTTTTCAAGAGTAACAGACTTTTGATATCTATCTTCCGCTAGTTTCTGAACCTGATCTATGCAGAACCTCGACTGCAAAAAAAGCGCCTCTAAGTCAAAAGCCACAACAAGGAACGGTTTACAATTCGAGTACACAGATATGGCATCAAAATATACCTGATCTTCAATTCTTGATGATTTCTTGGAGAGGAAACTAGCAGATGCACTGGCTTGCTGGATATCCTTATCCATGATATTTTTATCGATAAGCAGAGCATCTTGCATCTGCCTCGAAGTTACACTTTCCAAGAAAAGCTGAAACAACAATGAACAAGAAAAATTACATCTCAGAGTTCGGATCCAAGAAACAAACCATCCTTTACATTTCTTTTTACAAGATATTTTTTGCAAAACCTATACGGCCAGTATGTAACAATAATAATTGGTCCATGCTCATTTACAAAATCCATCGGTCTCTAACTAACTAAGTTTAACACTAGCAGATTTACGTGTACGAGAAACAAAAAGAGTTTGGACAAGCACCTTGATGTTATAGTCATCCCTCTCTGTAACTTGAAGTAATAGCTGTTGATTTTGTGGTACAATGTCCTCGTAGGCACTTCCAATTGTCTAAAAGAAGATAGTTACTGTAAATCGATACCCAACATCAAGGTTTTTAAATTATGCTTGAATCAAAGAAACATGAAATTTATGAGCAAACCTGTATTTCAGAGAGATATGTTCCGTGTTCTTCATGCTTAGATTTCAAGATATCGGAATGCTTTGCGACATCCCTGAAACAGAAAAGATCCATCATGTCAGTTGTCACAAAGAACTCTTATTGAAGAACAGTTGGTAGAAAGATGCTAATGACAATGCTACGCGTCTTCTAAAAGGCGGAGGAATGCCCTCATGCAGCATAAGAGGAGTTCTATTTATTTACCGTTTACAATCATCCATTTTCTGCCTTAAATCAGCAATCTCAGCTTCGGCAGCAGCCAACATCTGCTGGGAAACAGCTTCCGCTTCATTTGCTGCCTTAACACGCAATTCCAGATTATGTTCATCAAGAGCGGATTGTAAACTTTGAACATGAGCCCAAGCCCTGTACTCCTGCTCCTTGGCTTCAGCTATGTCCCTGCCACAGCACAATATCCAGAGTGATGCTTAAGGCAAGGCACCAAATAACGAGCGTTCAGCCAAGAAAAAGATGATGAACAAATTTCTAAAACATGCAACAGAAAATTTCATCTCACGAAACTGTAAAAGTTGATCACATGTTTAAAGTTATAAAGGAATATTTGGCAAACTGAACATACGTTTCTTTAGCTATAAAGGAAAATCAAACAACAAACTTTCAGCAAGACCGGACAGTTCAGTCCAAAGGCAATATTAACATCAGTGCTTGTTACATTCGCCCACATACAAGGAAACGTAAGGAAACTGTTCTCTAAGAATTTAAATCTTAGATATTGATCGATGGATATATTGAACTTACCTCGGGTCAATGGACTCTCGTTTATACATGTCTAGAAACAACTTCAACTCCTCGTGACTGTTCGTCAAATCACAAACCTGCATGACAAACTCAAATTACTTGACAGTAAATAACATAACAACTACTATGACATTTAACAGGATTTTAAAATGCTAGTCCGTCTTTCGCAATACTTCCACTAAATATATTTTTGAACAAGGTTGGCGTCATGCAAATAACAATAATCAATATCGTAAATGTAATGCCCATACCGTAGCATTAAGGCCACCAAGCTGAGAAGCGTAATCAGCTGATCTCAAATGCAATGATTCACACTCTTTTGTCTGTTCAACAAATAGGCTTCGTAAGTAAGCAATACATAAATGAACCAGTATTCATTATTTACGACTATTTCTCACCTTCCTACATAGAACCCCAGAGAGGGACTGCACATCAGCCCGTAGAGAATGAATACCTCCAACAGTCTCTTTATAATTTTCTAATTGACTTCGCATGGAACTCATTTCCCCTGGGAACGAAGAAATTAATGCCTTCATATCTGCAAAGATTTCTTTCCTACCTGAAGTACAGATCACTTAATCAGACTCCAAAGTGAAACAGGGGTGGAAAAAAAGATACAGAATTCGAAGTCAAAGTTATCAATTTGTCACCTCGCTCTTTTGATATATTTCCCAACCTAGTCTTGATTCGCTTTTTCTCATCCAGTTGCTTTTGTATCTCCACATCTAAAGAAGCGATTCTAGAATCAGCAACAGCAGAAGACCTTCGAGAAACATCACCTAATTCACTTTTTAAATTCATTTCCCTTTCCCTCCAGACTATACTATCCTTTTCAACCTGAAATTTTTGATTGGAGGAAAGTTTCACAACCGTATACTCACCAGGAATTCCATAAAGATAAATACAAAATGAAAATTCCAATCTAGATATAACCTGCAGTTTCTCAAGTAAAGCCATATACTGGAAAACTGCTTCTTTGGATTTTTCCAGCTGGTCTTTTAATGAAAGGCAGGCTTGAGAAGATGAGATGCACCTCACAGACTTTGACTTGTTCTGTTAGAAAACTCTTTATCAGTTTTATCAATAGAAAGAAGCTACACTCCACAAGTTTATTTTACTTGTTCTGTTAGAAAACTCTTGCAGAGATAAAGTAAAACAGGTAGATAATTGGATCATAAACTGACCTGTAAACTACTCGTTTTTTCCAGAATCTTTGTCCTTTCCTCATGAAGATCATTTAGCTCTTGTAGCCTGCTTGAAGCTAAGCTCTACACAATCCAGGCAGGTTATCAAACCAAAACTCCAAGCATTGCCAACGAAAATATAAAACCAGAAAGAAAAAAAAAATACCGTTAACTCTTTCAGAACGGATTCCATCTCTTGCATATCCCTTTGTTTATCCCTGCCCTTATCGCCAGAAGCAAGCTTATTCCCAAGGCTCAACACTGGGAAAAACGCTCCTGCTGTTGCATCCCTTTCTGCTCTAAGTGCTGACAAGTCACCATTACATTGTTGAAGCTCCACAACCTCATTCTCTAGCTCCCCTTAAAATAAACCAAGCAAAGTATAATGTCAGATTATGTTGCAGTCAAAAGCATTAATCTTTGAGCGGGATTGTAACTTGAGCAATAGCTCAATACGAAAAACAAATCAACTCTGTTTGAATCTCTTAGCCGGATTGAAATCTTACATCTTTGGATAAAAAAAAAGGAACTTATTTTTTAGATTTTAAGGCGCATCGTTTTTGTAATGATCTAAATCCTATCCTGGCTGTTTCAATACTACAGAACACCTGTGCAGTCGTCAAACTGGGAGCTTCACAATTTGATCACTCTCTACTTACATTTATCCTCATCAATCAAAAGCAGGATAGGATTTCAGTTGCTTTCCATGTATTTATATTGACACTTTTCTACCACCCAGGCACACATGTGACTACAACTTTATATTTGATGCATAAATACGACGTCTATGTAAAGACCACCATGAAAAAAGAGTGCATTTAACAGTCAATAATCAATGAGAAGAGACGAAGTAGCTACCTCTTATCCGTTTAAGGTCCGTTCTAACTTTAGCATCAGCATCGCGATGGCTCTGCAATTCCCTCGAAAGTGATTTGAATTTCACAAGTACATCATCCAGAACCACTCTGAAACTTTTTATTTCTGATTCCAACTCATTCAGTGATGGCTGACCGCAAAAATCTAGTAAGGAAAGCAATTCCACATAAGACCTTGGTTAATGCCTTAAAGCTGTTAAGAAGCCACGAGAAAAGCTGACAATAGATTGCAGTGGAACTGAAATACCTTTATCAAGGTCCGCTTTGAGAGCAGTGGGATATAATTGATCTTTCTGAAACCTCAAATCATTGGTCGTGGCTACTAGGTTATACAAAGTCTGCGTAAACTGTCTTGATGTATTTCCACTATTTTCTTCTTCCATCCCATTCGAGCAGATGTTAGAAGAAGAGCTCTCAGTGGCACCAGTTTCAAGTAGCCGGTTGATGAAATCGTCCTTGTGGGCCAGAGAAGACCCATCTGCATAGCAATTTTAAGTTGTCATTTCAACAAATTATAGTTCTAACATAACTAAATTTAAACTAGATCCTAGCAGTAAAAAACAGAACGAAGAAGAGGAGGGCCAAGCTGTTCATACCCTCCTTGTCTACAAACCTATGAGCTCCACTGCTTGAATCACTCACACGAACGGAGCATGATTCCACTGCAGCTGTAAGCTGCTACAAAAGCACTAATCAGATCATATAGAAAAATAACAGCTTTGTAATCAGTTCTTCTTACTTCTTAAAGTTTCTGTTTTTGGGTAAGAGGAAGGGGATTCAAGTAATGTTAGAAGCCAAAGCAAATCCAGTGTTACCTTTTCCCAAGACTCATGGACAGTCTTCAAACTGGAGCCGTACAGTTTTTGGTGATCCTTGATCTGAGAAAGCCTATCCTCAAGAATACAACACTCCACATGCTGAGCCTCTAATTTCTGTGATAGCTTGAGATTTTGGAACTGAAGAACAGCAGTATCAAGCTGTAACAGACGAAAACAAAATCCTTTTTAGAGACAGAATCCCAATGCCAAACCAGAAGCTATAGTAAGTTCAATCGAAATAGAAAATGCAATTAAGTTCTGAAACAACTTGGGTCATATGGTCATTTGCAAATCAAGTTCTATGAAACAAACAGCTCGAAATCCAACTATCTTCATCGATTGGATTAGTTAGACAATACAGCGCTACAAGAAAGAGAGAGAGAAATATGAAAGTATATGCACAAGGGAGAACCTTGTCCTCGGAGGAGGGCCAAAAGAAGGGCTGTTTTTTGACGGCGGCTGCTGCTTCTGTGGGTGAGATGGAGCTAAAGTGACGCCTTTTACGGTCAGGCTCCCCCGTGCTCGCCATTCAAACACCCCACCACAAAAACCCTAGAATCGCCAACAGGGAAAAAGCTTCTCTCACATCAGAATGAGTGGAGGAGAGTCTCAACGAACAACTCGAATACAAACCCAAACCAATCGAGAACTGTCGCTCAATGAGGAAACCCTAAACGATCTATCACTACCAAGCTACGAGATTGCTTCAGCCGAGATAATTCAATAGCTCAGCTTCCCCCATTATTTAAGAAAATAAAACCCTAATCTCACCGGTGTTCCAATTCAATTAAACTCTAATCCTCTCTCCTCACATAGGCAGACCTTGCCCGATCTTTGTGCGACTCTGATGCCACAAACGGTTTATGTCTCAGCGAAAGCACTCTCGCTAAACAACAGCACTCAATAGAAAAGGAGAAGAGAGAGAGAGAGAGAGAGAGAGAGAGAGAGAGATGAAGTAAAGTCGAGTACGATGGCTTTATTTTGTGAACATCAGAAGGGTAATTTGAGAGAAATAAATAACATAACGTATAAGCACCGGCCGTCCAGAGAATCTCCAACACTCTGAGCCGTACGATCACGATTCGTTTCGGAAAAACTAACTAATAAATCAACAAGTCAACTTATATATTCAGTTCGAAGATTTCAAAACGCCTTTTTTTTTTGTACAATTCAGTTAAATCCTATGTTGCATGGAAACGAAAACGAGTACGTGAAAACGGAACATTTTGAAACATAGAAACACTATTTTTAAAAAATATAGAAATAAAAACATTTTGGAAAAGTATATATATATTCTATAAAAACAAAATATTAATTTTTATCTTCATTCCAAAATGGAAACGTGTGTTTCTAAAATGAAAACGCATTTCCAAAGTATTTCCAAGTTATAATTTTTCCTAAATGTTTCGGAAGCGGAAAACGTACCTCGAACGGAGTTTCCATGCAACCTAGGTTAAATCAAATCATCGTTATTACAAAGAGAAAAACAATGGGATTTAATTCCTCAAGTATTTACGATCGGCAAATTTATTCCCCAATTATCATGTATGCAAATTAAATCATTAACTTAACGTTGACTTTACAAATTTAGACATTAGAAAAGTCAACGTTAAAGAAGAAAACAGAAACTTTACCGTTGATTTTATATCTTAATATAATTTTGCAAAGTCAACATAAATTCGAGAAATTAATTTACCAAATTAAAAGTTGACAAATTAATGCATAACTACAAAAACTTGAGAAATTAAATGATCATTTTTTATTTAGAAAAATATGATTATTTTCATAAATCATGATTATTTGTAGAAACCATCAAATACTTTTTTAAGAAATACTATTTTATTTTTTTTATGTTCTATGTTGTTATAAATAATATTAAAATTATGTATATTTAATTCCAGTAATTTTTTTCTTTACTGGAAATTTTTTGGTTATCAACCGATTATTATTCTCCTATTATACGATCATTGGTATGGTCGAAGAAATCATTTTCATCAAATTCACTTATTTTTCTCTATCCTTCTCATTATATGGTAGTAGCCCTGAAAATATCGGGATGGAATTCATGTTACGTCTTGTATTCATCCTGAATTTCTCATCTCATTCTCTTTTTTGTTTTAAAAAAATTCTCAATCGGGACCATTTATTTTGTTCAAACAGGTATGGAAAAATAAAAGATATGAGATCATATACCTTAATTATCTGTTTATTAATTTTCCCAAAATTATCCTAAAAATATGTTTTGAAGTTGATCTTTACCTAAATTACTAGGAGTTTGAGAAGAGATTTTGGGTAAGGGAATTTCCTACATCCGTTTTGTTCTTATCGGATTCCCATATTTCCAATTTCTATCATGAAGCCTGAAATTTCTAAAGACACATATATCTGCTTAAGTTATTTGTTTTTCGAAAATTATGTATACTGATTTCGTAATTTTGATTAAATATTAATAAAATTTTAGATAGAAAACATAGTATAATAAAAAGAATATTTTTAAAAAGAATATTTGATAGTATTCTAATTTATGATTATTCGAAAATATAATATAATAAATAAATAAAATAAAAAAATATTTAATGGTATTGTACAAATAATTATGATTTATAAAAATAATAATAATTTTTTAAATAAAAATGATTATTTAATTCTCCAAATTTTTCTAATTATGCAGATTAATTCTCTAATTTTTAATTTAACAAATTAATTCCTTTAATTTATGTTGACCTTGTAAAATTAAACTTAAAAAAATCGAGAATAACATTTCCGTTTTCTTCATTATTGACTTTTTCATGCGTAAATTTACAAAATTAATACTAAATTGAAGATTTAATATGGATACATTTACCGATTGCAAATGTTAAGAGGAATTCAATAAGCAATATCCCGAAAAACAACAGAGATATTAAATTTTAAATTACTAGAAAGTGTCAAGACAGTAGGATTTAACAATAAAACAATTTCAAGTCTGAAGACGAATATATAGAAAGAAGACAATCTGGTTATATAAGTGGCAGAAGAAAAGAACGTTAATCAATCGTTCTTGGTCGCGAGGTTACGTTGCTTCTCTTCCTCGACTTGGACAAGCAATGTCAAGAGAGCTTCACAGACTTGAGCAGCATCAGCTTCCAAAGGAACCTCGTTCAAGGAAGAGTAAACCATCCAGGCATGGTCCAGCTTACGCTTGGGTCTAACCACCACGGAACCAGGAACCTCCGCATCGCAGCAAGTCACGAGCCCGTCGCTCTTTTCGCCGTATCTGACTTGAAGCAGCTGTGCGCAAGCAGCCATTGCAGCACCAAGTGGCATCACCACTGGGAGTTTCGCGGCTTGGTTTGTGAGCGGAAGTTCAGCGTGTGCCACGTGTGATAAAGTGGCCAGAACTGCCGGGCTTATGCTAGCTTCTGTGCGGAATGAAACCGTGGGGAGTTCCCGTGGAAGCGGATGATTCTTCAAGAACTCTTTTCTTCTCTCGTAGGTTAAATCTTCCAAAGCTTGAATATCACCCTTCACAAGGTTTTACAAGTAGAGCAATAGATTAAAGAGAGAAAAATATTTGCCAGTTCAATTTTCTACCTAACAAGAGACCACAATAGCGTGCATCTGAAATTATTTTGTTAGGTCAAGAAGAGACTTGATGCAAACCTTTATGACTTTGGAGATCAGAATCTCCATAAGCTTTCTCAGATTGACATAATCACCGAGTTGTCCTTCACGGAGGATATCTGTAGCAATTGGGCTTCCACCATATGGACTCTGTGCCAATACCAACCCAGCGACCTTGTCTTTTAGTTCAGGCCAGTATAGAGATAAAGCAGCTGCTGCATCTATACCTCCTTTGCTATGCCCAAGAAGTAGAACCTTCTTATTAGATCCCCAACAGAGTTCCTCTATGTATTCCTTTATCTCTCTCGCATTTTTCTCAACCGAAGACTGATATATAAACATTTTTTCCATATATCAGAATGCTATACACCAAACCTAACCGTGTTTAAGTTGGGATGGTTATGATTACCTCGCTGTGAATCTTAGCAATATGACAGGCCAAACCCATCTTTGAGAATTTTGTTTTCGTATCCACAAAATATAGAGGTCCATGATTGCTGAAAAGACCTGAAATTTATTGTTTTTCAAAAACAAACTCTTTATGATTCCTAAAACATACAGTGATGAAAGCTTAGTGGCTGGCAGGTAAGAATAAGAATTGCTACCTGGAACCAACAAGTACACCACTGTATTTGGAAGCCTGTGAACACCATGCCTGGAAATGAAAGAAAAAAAACGATCAATGCAGCCGTTCAGCAAAATCAGGATGTTGAAGAGCATATTACAAAGACCCAAGTACATAAGAACATGCAACTACAACAAATGCATACCCGATGTCCTCAAGAATTCTATTGAATCTATCAGTTCCATCTTCAACAGGAGGCATCTCCGGGTCGCGCTGTAACCATCCTATGTCATCTGCCGAGCCACGGACAGTCCTCCGTGCCCGTTCAAGGAGCCTGATAAAAGATCAAATAGATCAATCACCCAAATGCTGTAAAAGTATCAGAGATTATTGCAATGCTTCAGTTTCACATTTTCAAAGTATTAGCATTTTTCCATTTCTCTTTGTACCAGTCATACAAAGAATACATACCCTTGAAAAATCGAAACTCCATTTAAACCCAACCGATTCGATGCCACTATTGCATTTGTTGCCTGCGGCAGGGTCTCTGTAGATTCCTTTGATGGACTGTTGGCTGTAGAAGTAGATGCCTCTGAAGAAGTTGAGCACCTTCCACCAGGAGAAATGCATACACTTACTGGGGAATTCCCGTCGACTTCTGATGTTGTTCGTATCAACTCATGGGGTTGGGAAATAGAATTACACGAATCCTTACCACCATATTCTACTGAAAAAAACATTCCAGGAACAGAGTCTTAGTTAAAGCCTGAATTATGAGATCGCTATATAGTGAGTACGGCATCAGCAGAGAGAAAGAAGGAGTACCTGAATAATCAGAAAAACAGCTCCCCAAGTAAGACGTTGCTTGGTTTATATAAGAAGCAGCTTCATTAAGAGCTGGCAAAGAATTAAAAAGTTGTGGTGCAGCGCCATTGTCCCCAGTTTCACCAGCCTGTGTACTCAAAAGAGAAATTAATGCTGTTACACCTAGCTGAATCAATGCATGGTTTAATCGATATAGAAAACATTATTACCAAGAAAAATGTAAGTCGACTCCAAACAGAATCCCATTAAGGTAAGCATAAAGCCAAGTGTATATCTAAAAAGATGAGAAGAGAATACTTACAACTAGAGGCGTGGTAGATTCTCCTTCTCTGGATTGACCAGCTTCTCCCATTCTGATCAATTTCTAACAACCATGAACAATCACAGAATCAAACAAAAGCAACAGATGTATTCGCCAGACCAAATGTCTCTTCCTATACCAATGAACGGGATCAAAATCAAGCAAAGAAGAATTACAGAGATAGAAATCCAGCGCGAAGAGTCTCAATTTCCGGATAAGAAAGCGGGTAGCGACATTAGGAATCGAGAACATGCAAGTGAAAAAATAGAAGCTCAAGTTTCTTAACAACGCCAAACCCTAAATTCTTAATCGATGGCAACTAAACAGCTATGTTGATGGCCGGATCCAAAGTAGAAATCCAAAAATCGCAAGTTTGCGAAGGAACCGATTCAGGAAGAAGAATCAACTAAAGTTTCGAAAATCAGAATTCAGGAAGCAAAGAAAAGGTACCTGAAGCTTTAGGAATGTTGGATCAAAACGAAACATACGCACGGCGAGTCACCTCCAATGGTTCGGATCATTTCCTGACCCGCGGGGAAAAGAAACCTGGCGATAAAAATTAAAACCGAAATTTATAACCGCGGGGCACAAACCGTGTAACGAGACGCAGTGTAGACGCAACACGTGTACTTTGACTCAGAGAACAAGATGAGACGAGTCGACGAATATAAGATGAGGCTCTGTATATTTAATTATATCTTTTAACGGGCTAATTTAAATGGGCCACTAATGGGCCTAAGTATACGCCTTACAACAACAGAAGAAAACGACACCGTGTTACATTCTTGTACATTGTTAACACAGAGTAAGTTATACATAGCACACGGAGTGGAAGATTTGTGTTCAGATCATCATCATCACTCATCAAGGAGATCGACGGTAATAGTACCTGCCAAAAAGCAAACAAAAATGGCGGATTCGAGTTTAATTTCGGATTTTTCCAATAGAGGAAAGAAGACGAAGTAAAATACAGAAACTTACACGAATATTTTGACGGCAAAGATGGAGGAGTATTTGCGAAGAAGACGCTCAACAGTGTACCATTGAGATCGATCTGATCCATCTTGGTAACCAATACGTGGCATGTGGAGTGAAGCTTTTGAGCAGAGGAACATTACCAGAATGGAAATTAAACAAACAAACGTTAAACTCACACAGTTTCTGGAAGAAAGTCATGAAAGAGCTGAAGAAAGCAAATGAAATTTTATATACCTGAATTCTGAGAAGCAGAGAATGAAGCTTTGGCCAAGCAACGTTCAAGGTCTGGAGTTGAAATGCTACTACGAGGAACTTTACGCCTCGGATTGTAAGATTGTGTAACTGCAAGTGCCACCCAAAGAGGTTCGCTTTCTTCTGCGTTTTGTTGCTCACCAATTTCTGCAAAACAGAGGGAAAAAAATGGACGAAGGTTGAGATACTCGGTTTAAGTTATTAGAGAACACGAAAGGAAGATAACAGTAGAAGGAATAAAGTTGCAGACCATCAAGTTTTATGAGATGCAGATCTCCAAGATGAAGGTCTTTAAATTCAGATGCTCGGTGATACGCATCGGGTACAGTATCAGAAAGTTTTGACAGAGCATCAAACATTCCTCCACGTCCCCAGTTCCCAGAGTCATCAACACAGCTGCCAGAAGTCAATATTTGGAAGTTTCAGAGCTAGTAGAGACTTGTTTTTTTTAGTAGAGTGATTCAGATGAAGTTTACCTGAATATGATTGCTGGCTCAGCAGAGACAGTTGATGGATGCGTACAGTCTCCATAAACGAAATGAACAGATCCTGCATCTGAACTAGAGTCAACATCATCGGGGAAAACTGGCTCTTCCACAGACAGAGACTGGTAACCGTGTGCTTCCCAAGTGGCTAGCTTCTTCTCTTCTGCCTTTTTCCTGGCAGCTTCAACTCTCAAATGTATGTCCTCAGATACGTTCTTTCTATTTCCCAACTCCATAATTTTGTCATCCTTGCTTGATCGTGATGCTTCCTTCAGTTTCTCGACCCATGAAAGGTAAGAAGCTTCGTCAAGGTCGGAATATACACTTGCGGATGATGAGTTCCCTCCCAGAGTGTCACTCGAGTTGATTTCAAACTTTCTTGCTTCCTTATCCGGTTCAATATTTTGACGAATCGAAACAACTTTCTGAGCAAGAGAACTGATTTCTACCATTTTCAGGTTATCAGATTCTTCATCGTGGATCTCCCCAGGATCAAACCTTTGTAAACCAAACACTAGAGAGCGCAAGTCACCACGGTCTTCTTCTTTCTCTTCCATAGCATCTCCCACAACATTATGACTAAGCTGCAACTTCCTCTCTGCCCTCCTCAAGATAACCTGAATAGGCACGCATTTAGATTTTGACAATACATATTGATGACTTTGTGACTGGAAACACTACGACACACCTCTTCCACAGTATGTTCAGTCACGAGGTTTATAGACAGCACATGACTGATTTGTCCAATCCGATGAGCTCGTTGCAAAGCTTGCTTATCCACTTGCGGGTTCCAATCTTGTTCATAAAATATAACCTGCATATTTAAAAACACTCGAATAAGCACTAGAAACAATCATACTTATCTTATCTTTCTCTATGTCATATATTACATTTCCGTAAGATGTAATAAGGAAGAAAAAAAAAAGCCAGAAATAACGAACAGTGTCAGCAGCAACAAGATTCAAACCCACTCCCCCTGCTCTTGTTGAGATCATGAAAACAAAGGCATTGCTTGCATCAGCTTCAGAATCCAATCCTCTTTCTCTTTTCGTGCTGAAGCTCTTTATGGCAGCAAAACGTTCTTCAGCCCGGACTGATCCATCAAGACGCTCATAAGAATATCTACGAAGCTCCATAAAATCCTGTACTTTGTATAAGCTACATGTCAGTGTGATCAACGCTGGACACACGTTGCAGAAAATAAAACAGCACTATGAGGAAACCTGCAAAATGTCAAGTGTAGAGGTCATCTGGGAAAAGAGGAGGACGCGATGTCCAATATCATGGAGCCTCTTGAGCAGTTGATCCAAAACTAAAAGCTTACCACTCGCCTGTCAGAGCGCAACTGTTAGTGAGCAGAACTTTTATTCAATGAAAACTGGTATCGAGAATTGTCTGGATAGTTCGTAAACATTTTGAATACCTGAACAAGGTGTTCGCCCTCTTCAAAAGGTTCCGGTTCAATACCAGGAAATAAGTAAGGGTGGCTACATGCTTTTCGGAGCTGTATCACCTGCTCAAGGAAATAGAAGGAGAAATAAATAAAAATGCATACTGTTCACTTATTATACGGGACTTAACATATTGAAACGCTTGATAATAAACATGAGAGACTAACTCACAATATTTTGCAAAGACGTATGATTGGATGCTCCAGAAGACAGTGCGAGGAGCCCTGGAAGCTCTTTCCTCAATATTGAGGTATATATCTTCTTTTGGAGACTGACGAGCGGAACCATTCTATCATGAAAAGAAGAAAAAAGACAGAACAATAAGGTATAAATAGAGTCATTCCGCAAATACTTTTACTGGAAAGGCTAAGACATACAAACTACAAAGTACAAGACTTTACACAGTTAGCTCCGTGAGAGGTGGCAGCACCAGATTCCCAGACTCAATCAGCAAAGATTTTGTACGCCGCAGCATAAAGGCGCCTAAGATAAATTTCAAACTCTTATATGTTTCCTTGACATTTGATGCATCAAGACCTGTTTTGACAACAGCGGGAATGCATATATTAGTTGATCCCTTTTACACCTTCTGAATGAATATCAACACAAAAAAAATGTTAGAGACTGCAGAGCAAGCGAACCTGATAAAAACTCCCCAGTCTCTTTGAACGCGAAAAGGAACTGGTCCAGAGTCCCAAAAACTAGGGGCATGCAAAAATGCATCAGAGCCCAAAGTTCGGTAAGATTGTTCTGAATCGGTGTACCAGTAATCAAGAGACGCCGTGGAATGAGAAATTGTTCAAGTAAGACATTGTACAGAACCTGTTACATTATTACATGACCAAGTTTTAATTAGATAAGTGCCCAGGATCAAATGTTCCTATAAGCCATAATAGATGGTTTCTATCAAGGTACAATAAATCCATATAAATGGCTAGCACATCAAAGAGATGAGTGAAGTGAGTGGAAGCTAGTTTTGAGATTCCTACAGTATCTATCATTCAGTTCACAACTCAATGAATTTGCCAAGCGAGGGATAAGTCAAAGCATACACTGTTGGGATTCTTGAGTCTTTGAGCTTCGTCAATTATAGCATACTGCCACGGAATCTGAGAAAGAAACTCCTGATCCACCAATGCTATATCATACGTTGTCAACAACACATCAAACGGCAATAAAGATCCCTGAAAGAAGAAAAAAACGAACAATATAACACACATACTGCTAAACCCAAGCTCTTGAGAATCTTAGAGAGCTCAGTTAAAAACTCACCTTAGAGCTCTTCTTGACATGATCATACATCGACTTACGCAAAGTCCGACGGCGATCCTTATCGCCAACATATCTAAGAACTTCGAGTTTTGGAGTGAACCTATTTATCTCTGATACCCAACCATCCGTTACGCTCAAGGGACACAGCACCACTGCCAAAATTAAGCCATATGCCATCAGAATCTGTCTTACTTTAACATATGAATCAGAGAAAACGTAAGAAGCAGACTCACGAAATGGCCCTCGCAATCCTTGATGAAACTTCAAGTAGCTCAGGAATGAAATCGCCTGCAGAGTCTTTCCCAATCCCATCTGCCCAATCCTTCGATTAGAACAAACATCAAAATTCAATCACAAAGAGACGAATTACAGCATTTTTCTCAAACACGATGAGCAGTACCTCGTCTCCTGCAATTAGATTCAAACATACATGAAATCAGAAGAATGATAATTTATCGAATCGGTTGCTTTGACTTCCGATTTGTATCCCAAAGTTGGCACGAAGAAGCATTTTAAAACGAAATCGAAGACCTACCGAGAACGACATTGACGCCGAGTAGATATTTTCGTATAAGCCAAGAGACTCCTTCGACTTGGTGAGGCTTTAGAGTCGCCGTGACCCCGAATTCTCTGCAATCCGGAGGCGCATAGCTTGCTTTCGAATCCTCCGCGAGTATGATTTTGGCCGCCGCTTCAAGTCGCCGTTCGTACTCCATCGTCGACTACGTGGAAAGGAGGGCTTTTGGCGGTGAACTCTCTCTTGGGACGTCTTTTCATTAACCGTTGCCGCTTGGACTTTGGAGGCACTCAGACTGGAGACCGGTTCTGGAAAACCGGACAATTGACCCAAGATGCTGAATAGGAAACCACAATATTGGTATACCTCGACGTCGGTTTCTATTTTCTTTCTTCTCTTTAGTTTTCCTTATTTCTTTTGCAAAATACAACTTTTCTTTTTCTCCACAAACAATTTTTTTTCAATAAATATAAATAATAAGCCCAAATTAAATTTGTAGCAAGAATTTGATTCTAGTTTCTGACCTTCTATTTCAACTTATCAAAGCAGATTTTACCGGCGGGATGTTGTCTGGTAAACACATCATTTCGGTGCTATCATATTGGGAGAAGTTATACTGAAGAACATTATATCATATGTGGAAATACTAAGATTATTCTATGAAATTCCATTTGTGGAAATAATCACAAAGCTTCCAAAATACAGACAAGTGGTTTGAGTGTGTGACGTCAGCAGATCCGGCATCGACGGCTCAAATGATGAGAGCAGACACAAGGGACCCAGGTCAATCACCTTTAGCTCCATCGTTCCCCATATATATGGTCAAATATTAAACAATTTAATCAAACCTATAATCATAATAATTCTCTTTAATTTAAATATTTTTGGTAGCACTAATCTCCCACCATTACTCCTCCCTCCACTCTCAACTGCTCAAGTGCCTTATGGTACGATGGATCCATCTTCTATGTTTCAAGTTTCAACGCATATCACACATTCATTTTTTTATTGCCGTATACCATAAGTAAATTTTTACACTTATTAGAATTTCTATTAATGTGTGGGTAGATAATACATGAGAATATGATTCGACTGGTCATGTAATAACGTGTTCCGCCTAAAGACTCCTGAATCATAGTTTCTGAAATCATTTCAAATCTATAAATCTTCATCGTTTGGAATTAAAAAGCTACTAGCACATATGTGCAGATATAAATTTTTTATATACATAGTTAATTGTAATATTTAAATATTAATTAGTTTTTTAAAACATTAGTATATTTGTATATATATTGTTTTAATATTTCACAAACTTCTTTCTGAAACTAATAAATTTTAAAATTTTATTTTTATAATTTTTGTAATAATATATAATCACAATTATAAAAGTTATGTTAAATAATTATTAAATTCTTATAATAATTTTTGAATATTTCTATAATATGCTTTTTTCTCCTTACACAATCTACAATATGTTTTTTTGCGTCTTACATAATATGAATTTACAGATACATATATAATATATTTTAAATTAAACTGAAATAGTTTTTACTATTTTTACTTATTCTTAATAGCGGATAGATGGTTGGCACGCATGTACGGACATACCAACCACTTTACTACACTTAGAATACATAAATATTTTTTAAAAAAATATAAATTATATAATAATTAAAATAAAAATTATAGTGTAATCAATCTTAACAAAATACATACACGAAAAAGTTCGCATGTGACTTCAACTAATGTACAATTAATATTTATGTATATACGCGTATTTGTAAAAAAATTGAAATATGGCTCTTACGTGTTTAAAAGTTTTTAAGTGACTTTGTAAAAAAAAATGCGAGAGATTTATTTTTATATACTTCTATTTTTATTTCTTATTCATATTTTTCATCTTATTATAATTTAATCTTTCATTCGGTTGTTTTTCATTTTATTTATATTCTCAAAATTTTGATTTACAATAAAAATAAATTTATGTATATATATATATGAATATGATATAAAATTTATTTTTATTTAAAATATGATAAGAGATAAGATGAGATGGTAACATAAGTTATGTATATTTTAGAAAATAACAATAAAAAGATGATAAAAGTTATAGAAAAATATATGGTCTTATTAATATTATAAAATAATAATTAGTATATACTTTATTCATTTAGTAAATATTGATTTAAAAAGAAAATTTATTTAAAATTAAGTTTTTTAAAAAATATTCAATAAAAGTTGATTATTTTTTATTATTTTTAACATTTTATTCTTTAAATTATTTTTATCATGTTTGTATTTTAGTTAAAAATGTATTATTTAATAATATGTTTATTTAAAATTTGTTTAGATGTTATTAATATATTTTTAAAAATTAATAACTTTTCAAAATTAAAATTTATCATACTTCAAGTATTATTAATAATAGAATTTTTATTATTCTATTGCATAATTTAGTATTTTTTTGGTTTTTATATGAAATTATAATATATATATATATATTGTTGAAAAAATTTCGTAATTATATTTTATGAAATTATGAATATATGTAAAAAATTGAAATTATAATAAATTTTATTTTCTGTTAATTTAAATTTGTTAATTGTAGTATTATAAATATAATTTAGTTTATTTATGTTTTAATTCCACAATTTCTAGAATTTTAATTCAATCTATCAAAATATTTTGTCTATTTTAGGAAGTTTGACATGTCACATTTACATGTCATTAATTAAAAACACTAATTTTGGTTATAATGTTGATAAATTAGCTATTTTCAATAATGTTACTTCTCAAATAATATGTAGTGGATTGTATCCATCACCAAACAGTTACCAATTAACTCCACGTGATTATGAAATCCTTACTACTTTCATTATGCTAAAAATGAAAACATGTTATTGATACCATGGCAAATTGGCATATACCTATAATTTATAAAATATGGGCGCCATATGGTTTGACATGGTGTTATGAAGATCATTGTTCCGAAGACTTGTCTCGAGATGTTCTCCAAGCTGAAGACATATGAATGAGGGTTATATGATTTTAACGTTGAACCCGGAACCATAATGAGTTTCTTTTATTAATTTAATAATGTTTCACTCTCAAAAGTATCTTATTATAATCGAAAGTGGGTCGATTTGAAGCTTCGTTTAAACAAATATTAGTTGATTTAGCCAATGAGATCAACGCACAAAATAAATCAATATGTTAGTGGAGATTTTATACAAGTATTGATTATTACTTGTCAAAGGAAAAAAAAGATCTCTTATTAGTTTATTAATTGATTACAACATAATTATCCACAAGACATATGCATACAACATAAAATGTCCATGTCTATCATTAGGACCAAGTTGTGTGGAGTGTCGGTGATCACTTCTCGGTTCTTGTTGTCTGCTTCACTCTTCTATATTGTCAGTACACGTATTTACTCCTAATCAATAGTTTAATATTATGAGTAAATATTAGCAATAATTCTGTAAGTTTCATGAGCAACAACTAAAACGAGTTCTATTAATTAACGGTACATGTGTCGCGTGACGTAATAATATTCACTTCCAAGTTCTAATCAGACTGATATAATTTTAAATTGTATATCAAAACGAAAAAAAAAAGCAATTGCTTAGTATCATGTCTGCCATATTCGAATTTTATTCATGTCTAAACTTGTTCATGTCTTCCACAAATCACCCAACATCTTCTACCCCACCATAGTAGCTGAACATGCACACAGCCACGTATCCATTTTTTTTTTTCACTATAGGTATAAACACTATATATAACATATGCTTTGCGTGTATGAAAGAAAACTATAAACTATAATTTTCACATTACAGAAAAAATGATGACCAAAATGTCTTTCCCTCTCCCGCAGAAAATATTTCTTCCACCGCCAAGTTCTCCACCGATTCATCATCATCACCAAGCTCCGCCACCGCTTGCACCGCCACGAGCCGCCATATCAATATCTATCCCAGAAACCGGTTTAGGACGTACGGGGACCATCCCCGATGAGTCCACGTCATCAGCCTTTCGTGACTACCAGTCTTTATTTGTCTCGCAACGTTCCGAGACAGTCGAACCGGTCGCAATTAAAGCAGTCGAAGGCTCAATACCGGTTAATTTCCCTTCCGGTACATATTACTTAGCCGGTCCAGGACTTTTTTCGGATGACCATGGGTCAACGGTCCACCCACTTGACGGTCACGGTTATCTCCGTGCGTTTCACATCGACGGTAACAAAAGGAAAGCTACGTTCACGGCAAAGTACGTTAAGACGGAAGCTAAAGAAGAAGAGCACGATCCAGTGACTGACACGTGGAGGTTTACTCACAGAGGTCCTTTCTCGGTGTTGAAAGGTGGGAAAAAATTTGGAAACACGAAAGTGATGAAAAACGTGGCTAATACGAGCGTTTTGAAATGGGCTGGGCGGTTGCTTTGTTTATGGGAAGGTGGTGAGCCGTACGAGATTGAATCTGGATCGTTGGATACCGTCGGGAGATTTAACGTTGCGATCAACGGCTGTGATGATGATGATTCTTCCGACAGAGATTTTGCTGGTCATGATATATGGGACACAGCCGCAGATTTGTTGAAACCCATACTTCAAGGTGATGTTTTGTGTTAAAAAGTAAAGTTAATTAAATTAAAGTATGTAGTCCATTACTCAGACAGCGAGCGTAATATTAATTAAATTTAATTTTAATTTATGTAGGTGTATTTAAGATGCCACCGAAACGGTTCTTGTCACATTACAAAATCGACGATCGAAGAGAAAGACTTCTAACGGTGACTTGCAACGCCGAAGATATGCTTTTACCTCGTAGCAATTTCACATTTTGTGGTAAATAATCTGTAAATTTATTACAAAACTATGCAATTTAATTTAATTATTATTATAATTATTGTAATGGAAAATGATTATTTACAGAGTATGATTCGGAATTCAAGTTGATACAAACGAGAGAATTCAAGATCGACGATCATATGATGATCCATGATTGGGCCTTCACAGATACTCACTACATACTCTTTGCCAACAGAGTCAAGCTTGATCCCATTGGTAACAAACTCATTTACACGAAGAATATATAAAACATGCGTTGCAAGGAATCTGATATATGGATTAATATATACTCTTAGGTTCCATGGCGGCGATGTGTGGAATGTCACCGATGGTATCAGCGTTATCGTTGAACCCAAGCAACGAGAGTTCCCCGATATATCTCCTGCCAAGATTTTCCGAGAAATCTGTTGGAGGTAGAGACTGGAGAGTACCTGTCGAAGTGTCTTCTCAGCTATGGCTAATTCACACCGGAAACGCTTATGAGACTCGAGAGGATAACGGCGATTTAAAGATTCAGATACAAGCTTCCGCTTGCTCATACCGTTGGTTTGATTTTCAGAAAATGTTTGGTAAGTTACCAAAATAAAAAAGTCACACGACATTTACAAGTTTAAGATATCAGACGATTTTGAAATAACTTCTTCCACACGTTAGGGTTTTTAGGTGTTGCAAAAGATAGCTAATGAACATTTTCATTCTTACCTACAGGATACGATTGGCAAAGCAACAAGCTGGATCCTTCTGTTATGAATCTAAACCACGGAGACGACAAACTACTCCCTCATCTAGTTAAGGTAATAAGTTTACACGACCTGATTGTGGCCTCAAGATTTGTTTTTAATTGTAAATTTTTCAAAATTCTACGTACGAGGAATTTTTAATGCTTTCAAAATTCAAACCAAAAACCTAGTGGAGATGAACTAAACAAAAAAAAAAATTAAATAACGTAGGTGTCTATGACCTTGGACGCAATCGGAAACTGCAAGAGCTGTGACGTAGAGCCTTTGAACGGTTGGAACAAACCGTCAGATTTCCCGGTCATAAACTCATCCTGGTCCGGAGAAAAGAACAAGTATATGTACTGTGCAGCATCTTCGGGAAATCGACGTGAACTTCCTCATTTCCCTTTCGATATGGTCGTGAAGTTCGACTTAGACTCGAATATTGTCCGTACTTGGTCCACCGGAGCTAGGAGATTCGTTGGTGAGCCAATGTTTGTCCCTATAACCTCCAACAAAGGAGAAGAAGACGATGGTTACATTATCGTCGTCGAGGTACGTACCGTATGCTTCGCTTTGTAAGATGCATTTGTACGAATATTATTTGATACAAGTTTGTTAAGTACTATATAATTTTTACAGTATGCGGTTTCGGTGGAGAGATGTTACCTTGTAATATTGGATGCTAAAAAGATCGGTGAATCCGATGCGGTCGTGACGAGATTAGCGGTTCCAAGGAATTTGACGTTTCCAATGGGTTTTCACGGTTTATGGGCTAGCGATTAACTTTTGTTGATATGATTCATTTGAAATTTACTTGTAAAAATTAGCAATATCATGATATTTTCAGTGATATATATGATCGTTTTCTGTTAGGGATTTTGTAAGAAAAAAAATGTTGAAATTGTTCCGAGAAAAAGCCACAGTTATTGTAATTTAGTGTAATTTTTTTAAAAGTGTTTATAGTATAGTCAAATTGTACTGTATATATCGTGCAAAGATTAATCATAGTATTCCCAAAAAAAAAAAAGATTAATGATGTACCATGCATGTGCTTACGTCATCGTATCTGATTTAGTCGTTTTGTACACGTCATCGTATTTTACTGGGCTGGGCCGAGACTTCCGAAACGAAATAAATGTGCTGATTGTGACAAAGGGTTCTATAGTTTTCTTTCTTTTTGTTTGTTCCCTCTCATTTGACCACAAGCCAGTTGCGTTGACCCTACGTCCCAAATTACTAACCATAAAGCCTCTCTGTGCGGAAGAGGGTTTCTGCAAAACCCCTTAATTTTTTCAAACGCCGGCGAAGAAGAGCGAAGCAATTGAGAGAGAAGACGGAAAAAATCGGAGAATAAGAGAAATTCGCAATGTCGGGGTTTCCGCCGTTCGGTCAATCCAATTCCGGTGGAGGGTTCGCGTTCGGATCTTCCTCCGCCACTGGTTCCTCTTCTACTTCATCTACCGCATCCCCTCTAGCTTTCTCCTTCAACCAATCTTCAAACCCTAGCTCCGCCGGAGCTCCCGGATTTGGATTCGGATCCACCGTATCAGCTCCTGCTTCGTCCGCAGCTCCATCATTTGGGTTTGGAACCCCCGCATCCACCGGTTTCGGGTTCGGATCCTCTGCTGCTTCCTCTCCATCATTTGGATTTGGAACAGCCGCGTCTTCATCCGCCTCTGCTCCCTCGCTGTTTGGATCATCCACCAACGCTTCCGCGGCTGCTCCGGGCTCTTCTCCTTTCGGGTTCGTGACTTCAACGGCCTCTCAGCCTGCTACTTTTTCATCTGCGACTGGTTCAGCACCATCTCCCTTCGGAACCTCTTCCTCCTCAACCCCGTCTTCATCGCCATTTGGAGCGCCAGCCAGTGGTTCAAAACCCCTCTTTGGATCTTCCTCTTCCTCTTCAACCCCATCTTCATCACTATTTGGAGCGCAAGCCAGTGGTTCAACACCCCTCTTTGGATCTTCCCCATCCTTATTCGCCGCTCCTTCATCTGCCGCCGGCTCGAATTCCCCTCTCTTCGGGACATCCTCATCGGCCGCTGGTCCAACTGCTCCTCTTTTTGGCGCGCCCTCGTCAGGCACCGGCTCCACATCTTCCATATTTGGCGCGTCCTCATCAGCCTCTGGCTCCTCACCGTCCATCTTTGGCTCGACAGGCACCGGCTCTACACCTTCCATATTTGGCGCGTCCTCATCAGCCTCTGGCTCCTCACCGTCCCTCTTTGGAGCCACCGGTTCGTCACCGTCCATCTTCGGATCGTCTTCTACCGCTGGTTCAACACCGTCTCTCTTTGCGTCGTCCTCGTCAGGCGCAGCAGCTTCTTCACCATCGCCGTTTGGAGTACCCACCATCGCTTCCTCTACTACAACGAATCCCACGCCTGCCTCGGCTTCTCCATTCTCCGCTTCTACGGGATTCTCTTTCTCGAAAAGCACAGGAAGTTCGACCCCTACGATCTCTACTTCTGCTCCTTCACTAACGGCTTCATCTTCCTCCTCGTCTTCGTCTTCATTCTCATTTGGTACACCCGCGAGTTCAGGCTTTCAATCTTCTGCGGGGTTTAGTCTTTCGACCGCAAGCTCCGCCCCTGCATCTAGCGCATCCCCAGCAGTGTTTTCCATTGCAACCACCACCACTACTTCTTCGACGACTCCCGCTGCCACTAGTGCACCATCTTCTTCAGCTGCAGCTTCTACGTCGATTTTCCCTTCTTTTGGTGTGGGTTCATCTGCAGCCAACAGCACTCCGGCTACTTCTGCTGCTACAGGATTTGGTTTAAATAGCTTGACTTCTGCCGCTGGAACTACTAGCTCTTTTACTGGTTTTGGTGTAGCCCAGACATCAACGCCTGCATCATCTTCTCAACCAAAAACTACTACTGCTGCTCTCTCATTCAGTAAGCTGTTTATTGTCTCTGTCTCATGACTTGTTTGTGATATTGCCTATCCCATTTGCTTCAGTGAATAGGAATAAGAATTTTGGAAGTCATTGATTAGGATTAGAGAAGCGATAGATGTAATTGCTATGCCTTAATCTATATACTCGTTACTATGTTATGATTCGACTTCTATGTATATACTTGCCTTGGCTTTTACGAATCACAAGCTATGTTTTTATCTGAAAGAAGTATTGTTGTTCAGGTATTCCATCTTCTACATCTACGGCTGCTCCTGCTGCCAGTTCTGCAACTACAACACAGACATCACTTGTTGTGGCTTCGAGTAGTGGGTAAGGCTCATTTTAGCTGTTTTCCCAAGAAATTTATATACTTTCTTTTTGTTTCCTGGTCTCAGGTTGTGTCTACCGTATTTCACTTGAGACCATTTATGTTTCTGCTCTCATATATTCACCATAAATTTTATTTTTTTGTAACTGATGTTTCCGTGTTATGTGTATCTTGTTTGTAATAGGACAAGCACAACTGTTGCAGCTCCAGTGACTGGTGCTCCCAAGTTGCCATCTGAAATAACTGGCAAAACTGTTGAGGAGGTAGATATTTTCCCTCTTATGATTATCTTCTTCGCCGTGTTTATATTTGTATAACATTCTAATGTTTTTTTCTTTGGCGTTTGAAGATTATCAAGGAGTGGAATACTGAGCTACAAGAACGTACAGGGAGATTCCGGAAACAGGCAAATGCAATTGCAGACTGGGATAAGCGGATCTTGCAGAACCGTGATGTTCTTTTGAGGCTTGAGGTGGAATTACTTTGTTCTATCATGGAGTCCTCTCTTGGAATCTCTTTTCTTTTTGAATCTTCAAAGACATTATTCTCACATACATCTGATTTTGTACGTTAAGCTACTATATAGTTAAGCTCATTCTTTTTGTGTCCTTGCTCAACAAACAGATTGAAGTTGCAAAAGTGGTTGAAACGCAATCTAGTTTGGAACGACAGTTGGAATTAATTGAGACTCATCAACAAGAGGTATGCAGAAAAACTATCATCATCTTATGTGAATCTTTAAATGAGGAGTCAGGTTGTAACATGCAGCGTGAATCATTTGTGCTTTATTCTAATTCTGCCTGGCTGCATTTATGTTTGTTTCTAAAATGGTTAAGTCAAATGCGGAAGTCACTGTGTTTTATCATCTGAAACTCTCTACTTCTGTTTAAGGTTGACAAGGCTTTGCAAAGCATGGAGGAAGAGGCTGAGCGTATATATAATGACGAGCGGAAATCACTTCTTGACGATGAAGCAGCATCAACAAGAGATGCAATGTGAGAACTCTCAAAGTCTTTCCACAACCATACTATTCTAATCCATTGCTATGTCTATGGGTTTCTTTCATTATTCACCAAAAGCATCCTAGCCTGATCTATGAGGTTTACAAGATAGATTTGTTTTCATTTCAGGTACGAACAGTCTGAGCTTGTAGAAAGAGAATTGGAGCATATGACTGAACAAATCAGATCTATAATACAATCCGTAAATGCAAACCAGGTAGGCGACAACTTTATCATATACTATTGTAGCTTTTACTAGTACTATGAACATTTACATCAATAAACCACCTTTTGTGTGTGAAATAGGGTGGAGAACTTGAAGCAGTAGATGGGATGAGTCCACTGGATGTAGTTGTCAGGATCTTGAACAATCAACTCAGTTCCTTAATGTGGATTGATGAGAAAGTGAGTTTTGTAACTTTTTTTCTAAAAAAAGCGAATTGTCTTCTACGTTTTGTTTCCGTTAACTTACAGTTGTGTAACATAATATCATTGAACAGGCAGAGGAATTCTCTTCTCGGATTCAAAAGATCGCGTCTCAAGGCTCTGGTGCAGACCGTGAACTGATGGCTCCAAAGCACTGGATGTCTTGATAGTCCCTGACGAAATTTTCATGAATATCTTTTTTTGGTTTTGTGCAAGAGATGTCTGATTTTACTACACCTTTTAAGATGTTTGTTTACCTTGCAAGATTTTGTACCAGTTATTTGATCGGTCATGATTTGTTAAGATTGAAACTTAATTAACTTTTCATTGGTCAATCACTCATCATTAGAGAGAGAGAGAGAGAGAGCTATTAAATGTACACCGCCTTCAGTGGTTAAAACGACGACGTGGTGTACATTTCTTACGAATTTGTTTCCTTTCATCAAATCAAAGACTTTCCTCACATGGATTAGTCGACGACTCACGCGTTTCGAAACAAAACGTTTTGTAAGAGGAACCCCAGTTCTTCGCGTGGGACGATTCTCTGCAATTAATTTTGCATTTGTCAAATCGTCAGGGAGACTATCGTACCTTTCTTCTCTCACACTCTTGGCCGGTCTCGATGGCGGAGGGAAACGCCGCGTCGCGTTACGTGAAATTGAGGAAAGAGCAGGCTCCCGTCGAAGATATCACCCCCGGCGAGCTCAATCAGCCCATAGATGTTCCTCAGGTAGGCACTCTCTCTCTCTCTCTCTGCATTTATATATCGCACGTTTCTAAGGAACTCCGATCTCGGCCCTTCAGTTATTCCTTCAGATCTGTGTTTTAATCGGAATAGTTTTCGATTTTTATGGTTTTGATAATACAGTTCTCGTTGATTCCGATTGTCGTTTGTGTCGATCTAGAGCGTATATCGTGGTTGTGTTTGATTGTAGATGAGTGTAGCCTCTGATCAATATTGAATTTTCTCCTGGTTTCGTAATTTGTCGTGATATCTAAATATTTGTATCAGTTGAGTCATGAACATTTGCGATTTATTTTTGGCCCTATTTGTTTTAGAGTTTTGGTTTCAACACTGTTTAGTCTCATCGAGCATTGTGTGAGTCATTGTTTTATCTCCTACTGTGTGAGTCATTGTAGTGTGACATTTTATACTACTGAGCTGAATCTAAGTCATGTATTACGCAATCACTCTGCTGCTTTTCTGGTTTAAATTGTTTGCAGCTGAATGTTCGCAAGTGCCACGAGTGTATGCAAGTTCTACCTGAAAGCTATGAGCCCCCTTCTGATGAAAACTGGACCACCGGCATTTTTGGTTGTGCTGAAGATCCAGAGAGCTGTAAGGCTTCCTCTTTGTTTCTTAATTCTTCTTAATCTGTATAAAGTTTTTGCAAACTGTCTTAGCCTTTCGTATATCATTGTAGAGTTTGATATGCTTCTAACTTCCTTGCGTAATGGAAGACAAACACCTAACTTTGAATGCTCTTGTATGATTTTACCAGGCAGGACTGGTCTCTTTTGCCCGTGTATACTCTTTGGGCGTAACATTGAAGCTGTGAGGGAAGAGATTCCTTGGACGCAACCATGTGTGTGCCATGCAGTATGTGTTGAAGGAGGTATGGCACTTGCGGCAGTAACCGCACTCTTCAGTGGCTACATTGATCCTCAAACAACAGTCGTGATTTGCGAAGGCCTCTTCTTTGCGTGGTGGATGTGTGGAATCTATTCAGGCTTGTTCCGCCAAGAGCTCCAGAAGAAATATCATCTCAAGGTAAGTAAAATCCAACACTAAGACCATTCTCGTATATTTCCAGATAAGATCTCTGATTGATCAATTGTGATTTTCTTGCAGAATGCGCCGTGTGATCATTGCATGGTCCACTGTTGCTTGCATTGGTGTGCTTTGTGTCAAGAACACAGGGAGATGAAGAATCATCTGTCTGATGCAGATGCTTCGTCATCAACTACTATGGATCCTCCTCCAGTTCAAGCGATGAACACCGAAGAGAAAAAAGACGACTCATCATCGTCTTCCTCTTCCTCTCCATCATCTGCCAAAAGCCAACACAATGATCTCGAAATGGTCCCTCTATAGGAAATCATATCTTATTATCTCTGCTGCTTATGCTTTAAGCTGTTTTTGTTTTTGTTGTGCAGAGAGTTTTCGTACCAATTAATTATGTTGCCTGCAAGTTTGTTATAAGAACAAACTCATTAGTATTTTTTACATTTTACCGAACTTAACTTTTGAAACTATAAAATAATTAATTAGAATGTTCATTGATTAGCCCGATTCAACTTTGAAAACTGTTAAAAATAATCCTCAAATGCACAGATCTCTGAAGGTATATCGCAACACCTGATGAACAAAGCAGAGAAGAAGGGATCTTAAATGGGATTAGCTTTTCCTGCAGAAGGTCTCCCTTTTTGTTTGCAGATGATAGCATTTTCCTTTGCAAAGCATAAGCGTTCGATAAATATCTGCGACCAAATATGTAACCAAAAAGCGCCCGTGGCCTAATGGATAAGGCGTTTGACTTCTAATCAAACGATTGTGGGTTCGAGTCCCACCGGGCGTGTTAGCAATTTTTGACCAAGCTACATATCGATTTGAACAAAATATCTCACTGTTTTTTTTTTTTGCCATTTTTCTAATTTTTTTAATCGAAAAATACATTTTCGCTGAACAGAGTCGTCTAAAAAGCTCACTCAAACCCATTTCCTAAAACCCTCGGTTCCTACATAGCTATGGCGAGGTTTCCGACATCTCCGACGCCTAACCTCCTCTTCAGGCTCTTCTCGTCTAACAAACGGTCGTCATCTCCGGCTGCCGCACTTCTCTCCGGAGATTTCCAGCTGCGCCAATTCTCCGCCGGAAGCGCTGCCCGCGCGGCCAAGGACGAGAAGGAACCATGGTGGAAGGAATCTATGAACAAGGTTCGCAACATCGGGATCTCAGCTCACATAGACTCAGGGAAGACTACTCTGACCGAGCGTGTTTTGTTCTACACGGGTCGGATCCATGAGATCCACGAAGTCAGAGGCAGAGACGGCGTCGGCGCGAAGATGGACTCCATGGACTTAGAGCGAGAGAAAGGTATCACCATCCAATCCGCCGCCACATACTGCACTTGGAAGGATTACAAGGTGAGATTTCTTCTTTCGAGTCTCTGAATTTTTGATTTCTTCTTGCGATTCTGTGATTGTTGAATCATCTCTTCAGATTCGCGTGGTTTCGCCGATTCAATTTAGCAAGTTTAATCGCACTAGTGTTTGAATTTTCTGTTAATTTTGCTTATCCTATTCAGTTTTGCTTTTGGATTGTCGTCAGGTTAATATTATTGATACTCCTGGTCACGTTGACTTCACCATCGAAGTGGAGAGGGCTTTACGTGTACTAGACGGTGCGATCCTCGTCCTGTGCAGTGTTGGTGGTGTACAGAGTCAGTCTATTACAGTCGATAGGCAAATGAGGAGATACGAAGTCCCCAGAGTCGCGTTTATCAACAAGCTTGATCGTATGGGAGCAGATCCATGGAAAGTCTTGAACCAAGTGTGTAACTTAGTCATCATCCTTATGTGCTTCCCTGTGGAATGAGTTAGCTTTATTGGTTATATAACTTCTTTTCTTACTTTACTTACTAGGCAAGAGCTAAGCTCCGTCACCATAGTGCAGCTGTGCAAGTGCCGATTGGTCTGGAAGAGAATTTCAAGGGTCTCATTGACCTTGTTCATGTGAAAGCTTACTTCTTCCATGGATCAAGCGGGTTTGTGTTAAAATAACATTTTCTTAGAATTGCTTAATTCTAGTGTGGCACATAGATATATATACATGTTGTGAGACTTTGATTGTTTATAAATTGCAGTGAGAATGTTGTGGCGGGTGATATTCCTGCTGATATGGAAGGTTTGGTTGCGGAGAAGAGGCGAGAACTGATCGAGATAGTCTCTGAAGTTGATGATGTACTCGCTGAGAAATTTCTAAACGATGAGCCTGTATCTGCTACTGAGCTTGAGGTTTTTTTTTCTTTGTCCTATGGTGTTTGTTGTTTAACTTATTGCCTTTTTGTGCATATAATCACGATGACACTAAGAGCAATTTCTTTGCATGAAACTGAGGAAGATGGTTCCTGGTAAATAGATAGATATTGGTGGCAACTTATGGTATATAGTTAATAAATATCACTTGAACGATATGAGTTCTGAGGGAATGTTGAATCATGTGGGTCTTAGACTTGCCTTAGCCATTGTCTTATCTATTCATTTCTAGCGTTCATGAATTGATACGTTTAGAAATTATTGTTCTTTTACTTGCAGTTTTATTACTGTTAAACTTTTTTTGGCCTGCTGTATATATGTGCAGGAAGCTATTCGCAGAGCTACCATTGCACAAAAGTTTGTTCCTGTATTTATGGGTAGTGCATTCAAAAATAAGGTAATTGCTTCGCTGGATATAAACTTTATTTCTAGTTACCGTATGTATTGAAAAGTTTTCAACATTTGGCGGGCTCCTTATATTTTCTTTGTGTGCAGGGAGTACAACCTCTGCTAGATGGTGTTCTTAGTTATCTCCCTTGTCCAACTGAAGTCAATAACTATGCTCTTGATCAGAAGAATGAAGAAGAGAGGGTACTCCTACTTACAACATTTTTTTATGGGGAAAAAAATAAACCGGTTCTAAAAGAATGAGTTTTCAGGTAACATTGACCGGGTCTCCAGATGGACCTCTTGTGGCGCTGGCTTTTAAATTAGAGGAGGGACGTTTTGGTCAGCTGACATATCTAAGGTAAATGCTTGATCTTCCTCTTCTTTATAGATGGGATGAATTTGTGATTAGCTGAATGCTAACTCATATTCTTTTGTTACTGAAGAGTATACGAAGGTGTGATTAAGAAGGGTGATTTTATCATAAATGTTAATACTGGAAAGAGAATAAAGGTTAGTCCATGGATCTTAGTGTTGCTTTGAGTCTTTTTCAGTGCTGTGAAGTCCCGTCCATACATTCTTACCAAAATCATACTTTAATAAGTATTCTTATCCCTGTATGCTTCATGTAAACAGAATCATTGATGCAAAATGTCTGAAAATCAAACTAGTTTTTCATCTGTTTTTTTTCTACCCTTGCAAGTAGCCCCTGTGTTACTTGATTTTTCCTAAAGGCTATTTAATGTTTCTTGGTGCAGGTTCCACGCTTGGTTCGTATGCATTCTAATGATATGGAGGTAAGACATGTTGTTGCAGTTTATTCTTCGCCTTAAGATTCCATTATGGTAGTTCGGTGGTAGCAACTCTAGTGCCCTGTCAAGTCGAATTTTAAGAAGTGTATTCTTTTTTTCAGGATATTCAAGAGGCACACGCTGGAGAAATCGTAGCTGTGTTTGGTGTTGAGTGTGCATCAGGTACAGTAGAAAAAATCTTCTATACTTGTTCATATTTAAGTAACATAATTTACTTCTTTGGGTGTGGAATTTACTCCTAACCTCGTTATATTATTAGGTGATACATTTACGGATGGATCAGTCAAGTACACAATGACATCGATGAGTGTTCCCGAACCTGTTATGTCCTTAGCTGTTCAACCGGTTTCAAAAGATTCTGGCGGACAGGTAACTTAACTAGGGAAAACAACTTTATATATTTCCTTTAATTTGCGGCGTCGATAGATTTGTAATTTTGAAATCTATTTTCTGGTGTCAGTTCTCGAAAGCATTGAATCGATTCCAGAAAGAGGATCCTACTTTCAGAGTGGGATTGGATCCGGAGAGTGGCCAGGTATTATCTAAAGAACTCCGTTGCTTCTCATCACTCCTCTCTGTCTCTCTTATTTCAGCCTGTAGTATTCAACATTAATGATTCTTCCACTTATTCTTAATGGGACAGACGATTATTTCTGGTATGGGGGAATTGCATTTGGACATTTATGTTGAACGCATGCGGAGAGAATATAAGGTACCTGACTTTAAGCCTACACAATCTTCTCGCTTTATCGCTTCTTCGACAAAAAAAAACATCTCTCATTTCTGCTTGTGTATGGCAATTTCAAACAGGTAGATGCAACTGTCGGCAAACCCCGTGTCAATTTTAGGGAGACTATAACTCAGCGAGCTGAGTTCGATTATCTACATAAGAAGCAAAGTGGAGGAGCGGGTCAGTACGGTAGGGTTACCGGGTGAGTATCTGAAAACTGATAGACTCTAAATGATGTTATTGGGGGGGGGGGATCCCTTCTAAACCAATCCTAACGAAGTCTGCTTAAACTCTTATGATTGTTAGGTACGTGGAACCGCTACCGCTGGACTCTAAAGAGAAGTTTGAATTCGAAAACATGATCGTTGGACAAGCGATTCCTTCTGGTTTTATTCCAGCAATTGAGAAAGGTTTCAAAGAAGCTGCAAACTCGTGAGTGGTCTTTTTTTCTCTTTGAACTTGTGGATGCTCCTCTCATACTGATATTGTCACTGATTGTGTAAATCTTCTTCGATTCCATTGCAGGGGCTCACTAATTGGTCACCCTGTAGAGAATCTAAGAATAGTATTGAAGGATGGGGCTTCACATGCCGTAGATTCCAGTGAACTTGCGTTTAAAATGGCTGCAATATACGCGTTCAGGCTTTGTTACACAGCGGCAAGACCGGTGATTCTAGAGCCTGTCATGATGGTTGAGTTGAAAGTACCAACAGAGTTTCAGGGTACTGTTGCTGGTGACATCAACAAGTAAGATCATAAACCCTAAAAGCCCCTAACAAACAATCACTTTCCTTGTTCTATTATTATTGGTGATAGATAAACTCAAAACTTGTCCCATTTTCAGGAGGAAAGGTATAATCGTTGGAAACGATCAAGAGGGTGACGATTCAGTAATCCAAGCTCATGTAAGAGAGCCAATAAAAACCATATTTTCTTACAATTAATAATCCCCGTTAAACTGTAATTAAGAAGTAAATATTTTGGTTTCAACAGGTGCCTTTGAACAACATGTTTGGCTACTCCACCTCTCTCCGCTCCATGACACAGGTACTACCATCACCATTCACCATGATCATGATCATGATCATGATCATGAGCATTATGAACAAATGTTGAAAATAAATATAT